TTTCTCAGGACTCCTGAAGACTCCCGTGGGACTTCTGTGGAGGTTTCGAGTCCTGCGGGAGTCCAACGAAAGTCCTCAGAATACTCAAAGTCCCACGGGAGTCCTGAGAAATTCCTTGAAAGTCCCACCTGACTCCTACAGGATCCTCCAGGATCCCGTGACAGGAGTCCCGTGGGAGTTTTGCCGGGAGTCTCGACTAGGGCTGGAACCGACTTTATCGGAAAAGGATAATTAAAGCAATTTTTAACGTTTTTAAAAGTAGTCAACAGGTATTCTGAATCCTCTTCACAGTTTTTTTTTGGCAGCTACTTTTTAGCCAGTGCTGAAGTTTCCTGTTATTAGTGTGTTGCTTAACTTATTTTTCGTCAATAAATAAATACTAATAAAATTAATAACTAATAACACTGACAATTGCTGACTCATAGAATCGATGGCAAATAAGCGCCATCTCTTTTTTAATGTGTGGGACTCAAATTCATTGGGTGGAAATCCAATTAAAAGCCGAAATTATGATATATTCTGTTTAAGGTGATCAAATTTTTCGACAATCAGTCCTTAATATGAAAAGTTACTCATAATGCTACCGTATGTCACTTTTTTAAGGTACTCAATACTATTGAACGCCATCATCGATTTCGCGTGTTAGCCCGAGAGATGTGACTGTTTCAGATAAGACTTCTAAATTTTTGATCAAATCCGTGCTACATATCACCGGATCGAAAAATTTCAAAAGCTTGTTCGGTCGAAACCGATTGCAGATTCGTTTTCTCCATGGTTGATTATATGGTACGCAATAACTTTTGGATCGGGGTACTTTAGAAAAAAATTTTCCCATGGTCTTGCTCAAAAATTTTTCAAAATGTTACCGTATGGGACCAAAGGCAAAACGGTGTCGAAAATTTTTTCTGAAGTACCACGATCCAAAAGTTATTGCGTACCACATAATCAACCATGGAGAAGACGAATCTGCAATCGGTTTTGACCGAACAAGCTTTTAAAATTTTTCGATCCGGTGATATGTTTATCCAATAAATTTGAGTCACACACATTTGAAATTGATTACACTTTTCCACTTCTCATCACATATTCGCAGCTGATATTGACAGATAACTTCTGTCAATGCAATGCGTCAGTGAAAATCCAGTGGGTAGTACAAGGCATCATGTGCTGGTCATGGATTCGTGCCCGTCCAATTACTGACTTAAATGAAAAGCAGAAGCTTAATAAGTTTTACAGCAGTCTTTATTTAAACTCGGTTGTTATTTTATTTATTCTTCGCTTATGACATTACAGTTATGACAGTATAACTATGACTAGTCGTAATTTTATAAGTGACTAAGTCGCGACTTACCATTCGATGACTGATATAAATCGGTACATAGGTGTCGCATAGAGTTCACATAGATATGGCATAAAACAAAAGAGAACTACGATGGATACATTAACAGAAAACAAAAATTATTTTTACAAAATGAATCCTACGCATATGTCCTTTGATTGATACACTGTAGAGGCAATTGCGAGGAAACATACTATCTAATGGTTGTCTTTGAGTAAGACCTGTGGCCACAGTTTTCAGTTTGTATATGAATCATAGTTCTGACAAACGGATTTCAAAAATAAGTTCTATATAGAGGTCTGGAAGAAACCTGGTTTCTGCAGATTTCTCTTTACGAATGTTTACACTTAACTTCTTGCATTTCACCAATTATGTAAATAAGATGTTGTAGATTGCTCCGTGTGAATAAAACAGTCTTAGTCTTAGTCTGGATTCTTCTGCTAATCGTTCTTTATCGTTTGAATTAGGGACAATTCTATCATTAGCCTTGTTTTTGAAAAGAAGAAACATTTAGGAAGTAACAAAGTCTAAGAAACGGTGTAATAGATTAACAAAAGGGAAGAATTCTAAGTTGTCTGTTTAAGTCACTGAAGTAAAACAACATGGAACTATTCGAAAGAATTGATAACATATTATTCAGTTGCGAACATGTATCTAATCTGAATCAGACGTAAGATGTTTTTCATAAGTTAATATTTCTGTATGTTGTTTTCTTCTAGGGTAGGAACTTGTATTTGCCATGGCAGCCGTAAGCACCGATGACATGATGAATTTTAACGGCACCGGGCAGTCGGGAACAGGTGGCGATGTTGAAATCCGAAAAGCATTGACCAGTATGCAATTACGTAATGAACAATTTCGTAACCTGTATGAACAGTTGAAGAAAGAATATCAGACATTAACCGATTCGTATAATGATTGTCAACAAACATTGATTAAAGCCACAGACGAAAATCGTTTAATGCAAGAAAAATTTAAAAATTTATTAGACAAATTACAAACCGAAAATAGAAAAAAACAAATGCAAATTGAAGAAATGAAAACTCAAGTAAGTTGAAAATCTTCAAGAAATCAACGTTTTTATATCTTTTGTACTAGAATTACCGACTTCATTTCATTCGAGTTGGAAAGTATTTTTATAATATATTCTAATGTCATGTTGTTTTCATTTCTAGATTTTAGACTCGACAAAGTTAGATGCTATACGCGATCGTTTATCAATAGAAATCGAAGGTCCATACAAATTAGCCATAAATCAATTAGAACAACAGTTAGAACAATATCAACGTAATGAAACAAAAACAAAATATGATTTTACTTTATTGCAAAAAGAGTATGATAATTTACATAATCAAAATGAACAAATATTACAAGAACTTCGTTTAAAACACGATAAAGAATTGTCCATATTGAAAAAAGAACGTGATCTATTACAGCAGCGTTTCAAACAAGAGAATACACAAGATTTGAATAGAGAACATCAAGTGCAACGTGAATCCCAACAAATGAAATTAAAAATACAAACATTGCTAACTGAAATACATGAGTTAAAAGAATTAAAGGATCATGCCGAACTACAATCACAGGCAATACAACGTGAACAATTAAAACATCTATCAGAAACAAAAGCAAATACTGGCTTAACTGAGGTGAACATTTTACAACAGTACTCTACCGGCGTAGTGTGCTATTCCCCCTCCCTCTCCCGCCAGAATAAAAAAAGGACATGGTCTTCTATGGGGAGAACGGCTACCACTAGTTAATAAATGAATGTAGACACTCATCGTTTGATCTTCTGTTATCTCTAGATCAGTGTTTGCAATAATTTTTCTAGAGTGAACGCGATTCATTACGTCTTCAATTATCAAATGTACACAAAGAACTAACATCAACAAGTGAACAACTAGCATCCACTGTAAAAAAGTTACATGAAGTTGAATTAAAACAAACATTAACACTCACTGAATATAATGACTATAAACATCGTTTTAAATTAGAAATAGCTAATCATAAAATTGACATAGCCAAACAATATGGTGATCATATTCAACGAGAAGAACATTTTAATTTAGAAATACAAAGTATGGACTAAAATAAGTAAATTTTATTTTTATTGTCAAAATTCTTCACATCTTCCGTTTTGTAGATTTAAACGAGAAAATAATGATATTGGAATCGGATAAAGCTAAATTACAATTAAATCTTCAGGAAAAAGAACGTTTATCATTAGCCACCATACAAGCAACAAGAGAAGAGGAATGGAAAAAAATATCAGAAATAACAAATGAAAAGTATGTATTTGTGTATAGTATTTAATTTTCTTATATTTCAATGTTTGTTTGATTTATTAAGATTAGATATGGAAGCACAAGTTCAAATATTATCAAAAACTGTTGATGATCGTGCGAATAAATTTCAATTAGAAAAAGATCGTTATGATGAACAAATACGAGGTTTAGAACGTAGTAGAGATGAGTTACAAAAAGAAAATCAACATTTAAAGTAAGCAATTATTAATGAATTTATTGATTAAGAAGAACCGTATTCTAATTGATTTGTAGAATGGCTGTAGAAAATTCGGATGAATATAAAACACAGTTAGAACGTGAACAAGAGAAAACACGTGATTTATATCGAAAATGTTCAAAATTAGAATCTGAATTAGCATCAACAAATGGCATGGAAGTAAGAGAATATTTCAAACTATTGCACATGATATTGAGTCATCATATTTTGTGATATACTTTTTAGCAAGAATTAACAGATATGAATATGAAATTGAAAAATGAACTAAGTCATTTAATAAATGAAATACAAATGGGTAAAAATGAAATACATCAAGTAGGTTAATATGATCTAGTAATTATAATCTTATATACTTGTTCTCTGTGTTAGATGAATACTCAGTGTAATAACGCTATAGCAAATGCACGTAATTTATATGTATCTGAACGAAATGAATTACAACTACGTATTGATGATTTACAAACAAAACTAAAACAAATAAAAACAAAAATGTACGAATCACAACGAAATAAGAAACAGGTAAAAATAAATAAAATTATTCAAAAAAATGTTAACTAATGTCGTTTTTATATATATTCAAGAGACGTGTACGTTTTCAATTGTATACCCAACGTCTAATGGAAAAAACCCAATTAGTCGATGCAAAATTAAGTGAGATCAAAGAAAAAGAACAAAGTTTACAGTTGAGTATATGCTTAGATATTGGTTTATAAGATATATGTGTAACATGAATACTATCTATCTTTATTACAGACATGCTGGTGTTAGTCTTGAAACTCATAATCGTGTCAAACGTCAATTAGCTCAATTGTATGGTAAACATCGTCACTTTCAAACTCTATTGCAAGATAACAATGCTGTTGTTAGACCGGTGGCAATCGGATCATATACGTTTTGTGGTGTTACTTCAACAGCACCAAATATCGTCACAACTATACCAAATGTAAGATAAATTAATAATTAAATTATTTTATTTTATTCTATTTTATTCTTTTTTCAGGATCATTATGATTTAAATTCAATGTTTAGTCGTCTTGATCGTTTATCAGGAGAACAACATCAACAATTATGTGAATTTGTTGAGACAGATCATAAACCACCGGCATTAACATTCTCAACATCGAATGGAACAAAACATCAGAGAAGAATTAAACCATCTACAAAACATGCAGATAATATTCAAAGTATCAAGCCCAAATCACCCATAATACAGAAGAATAATGAACTAAATACAAATCAATCAATTTTAGATGAATTAAATGCAATATTATCTCCAATTGGCAATGAAAAGAAAACAAATCCACCAGTAATAAGCACAAATGATAAGCCCAAATCAACGTCCGATAATAATTTGTTTTCTGATTGGAGAAATCTCGTTCAACCAACTACCACCACCACTTCAAATGGAAGGAAAATAAAATCACCACCACCATTACTAATAACTGATGATAAACCAAAATCTAACATTGGTAATGATTTATTTTCTGACTGGAAAATGCTCATTGATCCAGCCACTACCGACAAAGTGACATCATCGAAGGATAATTCAATGCGCAATGAAAAAAAAGTTGTACAAGAAAAGAGAGAGAGTCCAATTTCTGTTAGCATTTATTATGAATCATCTACTTCTCATGAAAAAAAATCAAGCAAAAATCAGCAACAGACACAGCAAAATTCTCCGTTTCGCAAAAATCATAGTAAGCTCAATTACTCTGATTCTTGACTATAATTAACTACTTATGTTTTACTTAAGATGTAATATCTACCATCTCGACTGCGGATGATGATCGATCATCTCATAATGGAACTAAAAGATCGCCTATAACAGCAGAAACTGGAAAACATGATCATTATTTTAAACCAATTAGTGAACGTCAAAAAACACCATCTCCATTATCATTAACAGTGAGTGATAAAAAACCTTCTGAAAATAATGAACAATCAAAAAATCATAATGCTCAATCACTTTCAACAAGTTCATCATCAGTATCAATTGGGAAACGGGTTACTACAAAAACTGCACCCACTTCAACGATATTGACAGAGAAAAAATCAGAAGCTACTAAAGCGAAAGCAACAGACGACGATGACGGTTGGCTTGATGCAGCATTCGGATTAGGAAAACATAGAAAAACGGGCTCATCAACATCTTCGTCGAGCTCAAATTCAATTAATGATGAAAAAAAGAAAAAACAAGCAGTAACATTAAAGTCGACATCTTCTAATCAAAAATTATCAAAATCGAAACAAGACACTGAGAAAGATGCTGTTGAAAGTGTTAAGGAAGAATATTCAACATCGTTTAATACAGATAATGAAGATAACGACGATTTTACATAAAATTTGAGGATGCAGTGGAAGTGTTTAATTCACGTCACGGAAGAATATTATTTCTCTTAGTAGATAAATAGAACCCCAGTCAGAATAATTATTAGACAGCATATTTTGCGTTGAAATTGTTTAAGATAAAATAACTCTCTGTGAAAATCAGTTAATCATCATATCGCGATGTTAGCTATTAGTTTCCTTTCAAGTATTTGATTAGTCTTGAAATGGTTATCGTCAGTTAAACGATTTTTTTTGCCATTTTTACAGATGTCACTACACACATCTTATGCTTTCATAGTTATTGTATTTCGTTCTGAATTTTGATAGATTTCTTTTTTGGAAACAGTGGCATTACATGTGTTTATAACGTATTTATTATTAGATTAACATTAATTCTTGTATTATTACATTAATAGATGAACGGATGAGAATATGGTGGTTGTATGCAAGCAAGGTTGATGTCTCTCTTTATTACACAATCTATCTAAGAAATATATTTTTCCAGTTTTCTCTGGTCTTCTCTAGATATATAATATTTGTTAAGTTATGTACTCGGCGACTGTTCAGTTCAGCGAAAACTGACATTTTCAACATAGGCTGTTTACTGTAAGAACAGAAAATTGACTTTTAATTAGTTAGAAGACAATCCGTTAATAATCGCTGTTCTTTGTCTGTTATTTCAGCGTGAATCATGATCTGAAAACAGGATCTCAACTGTATGTACCTTTAAGCAATCTTTTCTGATCAAAATAAGATCGCGCACAACTCTGTATGATCTTGCATCAAAAAGTTGCAAGCTTTTTCCTAGAAGGTCTAAAATTGAGTATTTCATAAGCGTTTAAGAACCCCCACGCACATGGAAAGGTAGCCTGAAGTGTCTACTTCCAAAATCAGTATTGCTTTTGGTTACAAAACTGTTTTTTCGGGGATTTTGAGCAAGTTTTTTAGGAACCTCGAAAAACCGAGTCTTCAAATAATAGTTTTTTCGTGGCTACTCATGCACAGATTTGTAGAGCAATCTTTTCTGATCAAAATAAGACCGCGGACAACTCTGTATGATCTTGCATCATAAAGTTACAGGTATTTTCCTAGAAGGTCTAAAATTGAGTATTTTATACAGCGTTTAATACAGCGTTTTCACCATATAAGAATTGCACCTGAAGTGAGTCCCAAGATTTTTAATAGCGGTTTGTCGTAGAGAGTTCATTCTTTTTTTTTGTTTAAAAGAGGAAAAGAAACTACATCGACTGACAGGCGTCGATTTTTGAATTAGATATTAGCTTTTTGTCAAACTGAGCATTTTTAGAAAATCCGGAAGGCTTTTTCGGATTTTGGAGGTTGTTGGTTGCTTGGAAACCCAATAAAGACTTAACTGAAAAATCAGCGCCGATCAGTCCATGTAGTTAATTGTCTAGTTTAAAATAAAACAAATCCGAACTATCCAGCTTGAAATATATTAAAAAATCTTGCGACGCACTTCAGGGTCCTTTTTGGACCTTGATCTCTAGAAAACTCCTAAACAGTAAGACTTGGAGACAAAAGAGTTTTTTCATTCCCGTAACTCATTGTTGAACATTTATGGAAAGTTTCGTCAAGATCGGATGTACAGCGTCGAAGATAATTTGTGAGGGGAGGGCCTTAAAAGACTGAAATTCCCATCACTGTGAATTGCCTGTTAATATACTACTTTGGAACGGTCACTATATCAGGAAAAGACTAGCATATAACATTGGTAGTTAAATGTCAGTTTTTTTCTCAGTTCGTCCCATCAACACTTCTCTCTCATTTCTTCCTATATTAGTTTACACTTAGTTAGCTTTAATATAATTGTCTATACCTCTTGCATACAGTGATAAATATATATATATATATAATAAATAATAGCAATATCAACGAGAACTTTGGTTTGCATGTGTGTGCTGATTCATTCCGTAAAATTCTCACATCATCTGTACATAATGATGAATATGTTCGATCCCGACACCGCCATTGATTATTTATTTTGTTTGCCCGTTTTTTTAGTGTATTGATGCCCATTATGATTCAAAACTGATTTGTCTTTTTCAGTAGACGAGAAAAGCAACATTTTGATGAACAAGACAGTTTAACTTATTTAGATTTAAATTTGTGATAGTAGTGGCTAACACGGCACATTTGGCCACGTACACGCATCTAGTATTGTCTACAATACCTACGGTCACCGTCTAAACTGTTCGATGGTACAATACTTTATTTATTTTGAGACGCGAGTATAGATGTCTAGGACGAATTAGAAAAAAAATTCTGGGACGAATTGAGAGGACACCTAACCATTTGTCATCAAATCACTGATCCTTTTGTTTCGCTATCATCCTCTGTTTCGCACTAATATGAATATGATGCTGATTCTTTTCAGAAAACTTCGAATTTCCTCTTTTTCGATTATACAAATGTCATTGAAACTTGTTTCGAGGAAGTAGCTGAGACTGATACTAGTGATGGTACATGCTGCATCTAAAGAATCAAAAATATTGAAAATTGTGAAGTCATCTTTGTGAGTAAGTAGTAAATTAGAAAGAAACTGCCTTGAAAAATAGGTCGTTAACAACTCATAATGGCGCAATAATGACCTCAAAACGGACATATCAACTATTTGATCGTCATAAAATGTCGTTTTTGCGCATTAAAACATTTTTAGTAATGAAGTCAATTGATCCTAGACAAAGTGCAATATTTAGATTGATTTTAACCCGAAATCACGATACTTTTTTAGAAAACGTTTTATCTGATATGAACAAAATGTACAATATATATGACAATTTGTTTAATGGATCAACAATAGAACAAGTGCTGGTCTTTTGAGCAAAGTATTAATAGTTTTGCATTCTAAAATCAGGGATTTTCAAAATGAGACTAAAACTTTTAATTTATAGTTTAAACTCATTCCACCGGTAATTTTAACTTTGACTAAGAGTCTTTCGCAAGTTAGCCAACCGTGCGCTGAAATTAATAATATGAAAAGTAGATTCAGGGAGTGAGACAGTTCTATTTATCATTTCTATTAACTGGAACTTTTTCATAATCAGTTGTACGATTTGTGATGTACAGGTTATGCTTATTGGAGAAGAGATGATTATATCTTGGAAGATGTAAATGATATTGATCTTTCTATAACCATTTTGGCTACCGAATAAAGATTTTGATCGAAAAGTCAAATCAAAAGGGAGAATGATGACGAGGAGCGGCGAAATAAAACTACAGACATTATATCGTAAAAGTATCTTGTAATATACTTGAAAAAAATTTAGAATTACTTTGAGCGTCCCTCTAGAACTGCCTCATATCGACCCTTTTTAGATAAATTCAAAAAAGTAATATCCTTATGAAAAAGAGAATGAATAGCTTCAAAGTAAATAGTACCTTGAAATCGCATTTTTATGGTTTATCCAGTGATTATCGTCAAACAAGAGAGCAGTATTGCACATATACAGTAAGACTTGTAAAGTTTTTACTTTAAAAAAATTTAAGTTTTTTTCCATTTGTCTTGTTTTATTTCTAAAATGTCGAAGTTCGAGGATTAATGTGAATGCGATGTAAATTTAATGGAATTATCCTGTATTTCGTTCAAATAATAATTATAGCTTAGCTATTAATTTTAGTGTCTACTATTGAATGGACACTATTGAATGGACTTCAGAAACATCATTACTTTCTTAATTTTACTTTGATTCAAAGAATCTTTTTGTTCTAATATACTTTCCTCTGTTCTCTCTCTCTTTACTGAACGTGTGCACGTATAATTAACAAGCAAAAAAGAGATAAAAAACCCACACTATCCGTGATATTGAATACATCAGCTCCTTCTTTGACTTCTTCCTCCACACGTCAAGGACAAAAAGTAATTTTAAATGATTGACAACAGTAACAATTGGTGTTGTTAAATTTTTTTTACACATTCACGGTAAGATTGAGAAAAAAGAAGTAAAAATGAGAACATGATGGATACGTTTAATTAAAAATATTGTTTCTTGATACACAATGATTAATCGTAATGAAACATACATTGATATGTAGACAGTGATACTGATGGCGAGATTAAAATGTTTCTTTTAAACTATCTGATTCTTTTTCTCTTGATAGTTTTCAACACAATAAAAGGTAAAAAATTATGGATGTTTTAATTTAAAATATGTTAATTTTCTAACATTATGCCCATACTAGAGCTAATTAGATCAAATTTTATTGGTATGAAAACCTTTAGTTATCGAATGCGACGTAGAAAGTAGAAAAATAATTGTTTAATCTCGTTTTTTGCTTGATAAAAAGGTATCGAACATTTGATAGTTTATTCAGTCCTTGTTTGAAATCGATCAATAAGCGCGCTATGATGTTGTAGGTTTTGTTATCATTTTCAAGACATTCTTATATTCATTGTTGATGTTTAATATAGTTTATCGTGTTTTTTTCCAGCTCAATATGACAGTTATCCAATTAATGGCACAGTAGCTTCGTTAATACCATTATCATCAGACGAAAGTCTAACATCAGCAACAACTCAATTGATTAATAATTTTACTGACTCAGTCATTTCTGCACGAGAACAAATATCAAACACAACAGAAAACTCAACGTTCGTTTCACTATATAATACTGTGGATAACATTACGAGCATTGAAAATGGCTACAATTATTCAGTATCGTTGTTGTATTCCACCGATTCTATCCATCAATTTGAAAATTCTACTACATATGTACAAGATGAGCTAACTCCTAGTAATTTAACACATATTTCTATTACAGACCCGGAAAACGCGAGTAATGTAACATTTACTAACGATTTTGATTATACTGATATACCAAATGGAACAACAGCTCTTGTATATGATAATAAATTAGAGACCAATATTCAAAATTCGACTTCAATATTTAGTTCGTTTTACGATTACGATACGACAGATATACAAGACAAATATTCAAATATTTCAACTTTGTTCGATAATGTTTCGTTGTTTAATGTTAATGTTACATTCAGTACTACTGCTAAGCCTATAGAATATAGTGAACATACTGCATTTGATGATCAAGATTTTAATTCAACTTTTGTAACAAATCATGAATCAACGATATATGATACATCATATTCAACCGCTGTATTTAGCGAAGATACCGATATTTCCGATTTAACAACATTTACTGATAGTGACGATCGAACAACCTTATCCAATGATTTAACGACTAAATTCGAAAAAACATTAATATTGGATGACATTTGTCGTTTGAATCCTGACAAGTGTTCATGGGAAAATTCTTACGATATCGATAAAACTGATTCATCTCTACCACAAGCATTATGGAAAAAAACTTTATCATCTTTTTCGGTTGGTAATACTTCACTAGATAAAAGACCTGCAGGTTAGTGATTATCTTTTTAACAAATCGTTCTAGCTGTTATAGTCAGATTATTTTAGGCTCTGATTCTGTTGTCTACATTGTCGAATATAAACCACAATGTTTAAATCGTGTTTGTAAAGTAAAATTAAAACATACAAAAACAATTAATATCAAAACAAATGGTTGTTTAAAATTTTCAATATGGGCAAGAGGAAATCTTAGAAGTATATTTCTTAGACATTTGTGGATTACAGCGTTTTTTGATTATCGAAGAGGGTTGAAACTCCTCTCGTTTGGAACTCAACAAAATTTTGATTTATTTAGAAATTTTTAAGAAATTTAAGCTGAGAAACTGTCTTTTTATGCAGCTGAGCAAAAGTGATTTTTTTCCTATCGTTTTCTTCATATTCTTAAAGAATTTTGTTCCGAAAAAAACCTGTGATAAAGAAACAAAATAGCAGACTCGTGATAGTAGTGATAGTAGTAGCAAAAGTGATAGTAGCAAACTCGTTTTTAGTATTCAATTAGCTTCAAACATACAGTGACTCAGCGGACTTTTCCACCCCTTCTTGAAACTTGAATTGAAAACGTTGTATGAATTAAACTTTTTACTTAATGTTTTCTCTGTATATATTCACAGATAGTCAATTTTGGATTGAAGAATTATCGATACAAAACGGTCGTGAAGAAATTTCTATTAGAGAAATTGGTTTATCACTTATGTTTAAAAATAAGACAGATTGGATACACATCCAACATGAAATTAAAAAAAATATATTTCCACAAAAAACAGTAAGTCCCTCAAAGACTTGACGATCAACAACATTTTTTGTTCATTTTGTAGTTGATGTTAAAAGTTAGAATTACGTTCAAAGATCCACTGATTGATAGTTTTGCAATTTCAAATTTGAAATTAGACTTAACAAAGGAATGTATGGATAGTAAGTCTAACATTTTGGGCTTAGAAATATACTAATAGGCGTCTTAACTGCTGTTTTTTTTTGCTAAGAATCTGCTCTGTTAACTACTCAACATTACCGACATAATGAGACTTCAACAACCAAATGGTCTCGTTTTCCTTATTATACAACAATTAATAATTACAGACGACAAAGAATAGAGAATCGTTCAACAACTGTTCAACGTCGTTTAACACTTCGTTCATTTGATGAAATTGAAGAAGGATCTGGGTCAACAACAAATATATTTCCCACAGAGTATGCCACCACCAATGATGAATCGAGTGCTATGATAATGATTAACAATACTCTTCATACTACTGATGACTTTTCATTATACACAAATATAATTGATAGCAATAGCTCTGAGATTTCGACTATGTCTGGAACAAATATCGAATTAACCTCAACTATACAGGATGACTTAGTCGTAACAGATTCTTCTGAAATAAAAACAAGTAGATCAACCGTTGCTTACAAAAAATCGTATCCTCGTTCATCATCGTTACTCATATTTCCGCTTGAAATGAATATTGCAAAGCGTTTTATTATTATTATATCAACATTATGTTTATCACTCGTCTGTTGTACAACATTATGTGCCATATGTGCTCTGTGTCGTCGACGAACTGCAGTGTGGAATGTACGTTTCGATTCACCAATACAACTGATTCGTAAAATATCTTTACACTCATTACCATTGAAACAAATAAGTCGACAGGCATCGACAATTGTACGACCGAAAAGTACAGTATTAAAAGCTGTTAGCTCAATTTATAGTAAAGACATATCATCACGTTACAAACCGACTGATACGCCTTCATCATCGATGTCAACGTCAAGCCAAATGTCAAAACTATCAGATAATTCAGCCGCATCTTATTACACTTACTTGTAGGAAATTTGAGATAAAATGGATTATTTTAGGTTTATTAAAAACGCTTTTCTGCACTAAATATATATTTAACGATAAAACAATGATAATATTGAATTAAAGGATGAAATAAATTATCTTCGTTTTGAAGATTATACTTTTCTTACTGCACAGAAAACAAAGTGGAAATATCAGTCTGTCTTCTTACTAATGGCGTCATTGAGTGATATAGCCCGATATTTTCTCTCAGCGATATTGTGATAACTTTTTTTGCTTGGATACATTCAACGAACTTTTGTTTAGCACAACTAATCAATGTTTTTATCGGGATTATGAGTTTTATGGATCCATTCATTTGAAGAAGATAGTCTTTGAGTCAACAGTGCGCTCTAAGATTGGTTGAGACACTTAGTTTGGTACAAACAGGAATAAGATAATATCATAAAAGGAGAAAGAAAAAAAATAATAAAGATTTCACACTGAATTTATTAGATAACTATTCATAACAAATGGTGGTTTTGTGTAATTCTACTATTAGTCTCGATGGAAATCTTTAAGTGGTTTGCTCACGATTTCATCCACTCCATAGGGGGCTGATAGTCGATAAGGTCTAACTATACATTATATCATGTAGTACTACCAAAAGTATGTAATATATCTCACCTGTTCAAACAAATCATGTTACACATGACTTATTTGAATGACCCAAGAGGCAGATCGGTACCACTTGTTGTTTCTTCACGATGAACTTAGCCATGGAATCTCTACTTTTGAAAAATGCATCCCCTTAACCTGCCTCCTCAAAATCTGCACGTTATGTTTTTAAAGTGTTTTTTTACTGCCCTTGGTGTGCCTGGAAGGTAGAGATTTGTAGAGATTTCTAAAAAATCTTTTGAGCAAAATATAATAAAAGTCAAAACCTGAAGTCTACCAGTATACGAACGGTTGAGGATTTCGAGTAAGGCCAGAAATTTGCTATCCTAGCTTTTCTTGAAACGTTCAAAATCACAAGGTGTGACCTTGAAGCGCTCATGTTTGACATGCCTTTTATAAGATACTAGTGAGATATTTTACATACTGTTGGTAGTACTATACAGACAGACAGAAGTAAGCGGATCTAGTGATCTGGACGAGTATTTATGCAGATCTCAATGTGGAACTATCCCTATCGCTTTAAGAATTTCACATGTTTACATGTGTAGCACTATACTCCCTGCAC